CCCGTCGTGTCTCCTCTTGCTCCTTCGCAACGCAACGGAAAGGATGGATTTGCGCCGGTGGTCGTCGCTGCTTCTCTGGCAGGTTCCGGCTTCGGTCTAGGGTCGTCGTCTCCTTCCTTAGGCGGTGGTGTTGGGTGGGATGTTGTTCACTGGGTTGGGTCCGGGTGCGGTTCTGGCAGCTCGTGGCTTTAGTCGGCGATGGCGGGGCTGCAATTGCACCTCTTTGCTCCTCTCCCCCCGTTCTCTGGTGCTGGGTTCGGAGGGAGTGCCGGTGTTGCCGATTCCTACTAGTGGTGTTAGCGGGGTTCAGTGTATCGGTACATCTGGGGGCAGTTGGGTTGTTCTCCGGCTGTGGGGCGAGTTGGGTCGACTTGTGGTCCGCAGGCTCGGCTCGGCTTTGCCATAGGTATTGAGTTTGCTAGTGGTGTTAGTAGGCTCGGTACTGCGGCGGCTGGGTATAACCTTGGGGTCTCTCCGGCTCTGGGGCGAATTGGCTTTGGGTGTATTTCGAGGCTTGGGATTTGACTTTGCTAGGCGGTTCGGCAGTGGCGAGTCGGTTTTCTTGGGCAGAGGAAGCCTCCTTGGGTCGATTTGGTGACTGCTGGCTTGGCTTGGAATTGCTGCTGTGGAAAGGCTCTTAATATTTTTCTATTTTTGTGTGTTTTGTTGATTGTTTAGGTGTTTTAGATTGTCTTCGGTCTTGTGTTTTTGGTTTGGGTTGTTAACCCCTGTGAACCCGAGTGACTGTATTATCTCGTTGGGATCGTGCACTCGGGCATTACCCTGTTGGGGTCGTTTTTCTTTTCTTTTTGTCCCATTCTCTCCTTGGGAGATTTTAGTTTTCTTGTGTTATTTTGTGTTCCCGAGTATTATCCTGTTGGGGTCGGCTCTAGGCGATCTCCGGATCTGCCTCCCAGTTTTCTAGTCTTTGGTTGTACTATTCAGCCTTTGGCTGCTTTCTCTTCGCACTTTGTGCGATTTTTATTAATATAGTACCTCTATCGTTTCGGAAAAAAAAAAAAAAACTTTAAACATTAGATGTATTTACGTAAATCAATGACTATATAGACAACTAAACCCTTCAATTTAGGCTTGACATCTACTTTATTTATGGGTGACGTAAAATAAGGAATTAATTTTGACCGATTAAATCTTTATTCATAGGCTTGACATATAAAACTGATTTGATGGGATTTTCTTAACTAAACCAATGCTATGGGATAAAACAAATCTATACTTACCTTTGACTTTTCCAGCAAAGGTAAAAAAATCAGTTCTGATTTTTATCCCATAACAAATCTTTAATGTCAAGCCTAATAAATATCAAAACAAATCTGTAATTAATATCATTCTATTTCCAGCAAGCATTAATTACCTTTGACTTTTCTACATACTATTTCTAGTAAATAGGATGACTTTTTATATAAGTATAGATTTCATATAATGCAAAGACTGAGATCATAAAAAAGAATCCTAAAAACTGAAACAATATATTTGCATAATTTAAGGCCATTAAGAAATCGATCTCTAAACCAGATTTGATTTTCAGAATATGTTTTTTCATTTCGAATTCCATACAAAATGGAATTCTTTCCAACCAATAGATGTCATAGCAAATATTAACTCTTAACTATTAAACTATTAGTACATACCAAGCAAATTGTGTATTGAATTTAGAAAGTTAAAATGATTCATGTTAGGTAATTTTACATTTTATGCATGTTGAACGGTGGGTTTTAAATATTGTTTCATAGAATGTAAAAGTGTATTATATTATTTTTATGAGATGTTGAATTTGAAAATTAATAGAATTCTTCTTCATAAGAATTTTAAATGTAACAATATTCTTTGGTATACACTACTAATAAAATCTATATTTAAAGTTTATATTTTTTTTACCGGAAAAAATTCCTTAATTTAAGGAATCATATATCTTCAATCAGTCCACATCTGTATACATTCTTCACAATTTTAAATCTTGAATTTGATGAGAATTCGTATCTATTAGTGCAAAATATGGTTAACAAATTATTTTTTTATTATTATTACAGTCATACTTCTTTATGGGGGTGATTGGATATGAATTCAACTAGTAAAAAACTACTTTTTTTTTAACTATAGTTAAATTTGAAAAAAAAAAGTAGTATGGTTAGTTATTAGTGGATATATTAAAATATTATTTAAATTAAAATAATTAAAGTTGAGGTAAAAGTAGAAGAAAATGATTGGAAGTGATGGTTAGTTAAAATTATGTGAGTGGATGAATAGTGAATTAAAGTTGATGTAATGTATGATAATGATTGGTTAATATTATTTAATTATATTGATAATATTGGAGATAGTGGAGTTGAATTAAAGTTGAGTTAAATTTGAGTTTTGAGTTGAATATTTACTGTGCAAATTATATACAATCACACCCTATACGATTTTTTGTGAAAATACAAAAGTAAATTCTTCATTTTAAATCAGTCGTACATTAAAGAGTACAAATTTGTTGAAATTACAAAAATAGTTTTTTACTTTTAAACAGACATAAATTTTAAATCAGTTATAAAAAAGTAATACTTGTTTACTATTAATATATTAAATCAACTGTAATTAATGTTGTTTGTTTTAGTTGCCACGATTTTCTCCAAACTAAATTAACAACTGCCATGATTTAAGGGCAACATTTATTGTTGCTCTATTTTTAGGAGACATTAAATGTATTTGGCGGGAAAAACTTCCTAAAAGTGTTAAATAGTTAATCTTTTAATATAACGATAGATTTCAGCTGACTTATCAGCTAATTTTACCAAATGTTTTTATCATATAAGCTAGTTTTTGATCCATAAGCTACGAGTTATAAATTCAAAATTCACTTATCATTTATTAGTTAAGTTTACCAAACGTAGTAGTCTTCATTGGTTTGGAAGATGTAGCTCATGCATTGAAAAACCTTATAATTTATTAAGAAAATACAAATTAATTAAACCAATCAGTTTTTGGTTTAACTGTCTGATTCAATTTGGACAACCATTTTATATATCCATATTTAGAGGCTGTTTGTTTATAATTTTTTCAATCCATACTCATAATCTAACTTTAACTTTAACTCAACCCACTCTCTTCGATACTATCAATATAATTAACTAATATCAATTACTCATTCTTCCACGTCACATAAATTTTAATTTATTATTCATCCACTCATAAAATTTTAACTAACCATATTTTCAAATCATTTCTCTCATACTTTTACATCAAATCAACTTTAATTATCTTATTTTAAAAATTATTTTAATATAAACTCAAAATCCCACTTACAACTAATCAATAATATTTTTCAAAATTGATCATAATTAAAAAAACTCGTTTAGACCGAATATATTTGTATCCAAGCACTACCTTAACATTTGAATATTATTGTTTATAATACAAGATATCCTCGTTAAATGTGAACACTAATCGCAAATAATAAATAAATAATAGTAACAATAACATCAACAACAACATTGAGCCACGTGAATTTTCAGTTCATCTATATATATAATTGCTAGAATAACATTAATTTTATCTAATAAATTTTACCTATTAAATAATACTACATGGCAAACTTTACATACTCCAAAACCGTTGCAATTCATTATTATTATTATTATTATTATTATTATTATTATTATTATTATTATTATTATTATTATTATTTTACTATTATTATTATTATTATTACTATTATTATTATTATTATTACATTACTCAACATATCCCATTAATGATAAAATATTTTCTTGCACTTTTTTCTACGTTAACTAAGACAAAAACCATATTACATTAATCCACCTATTTCATTAATGATAAAATATTTTCTTGCACTTTTTTCTACGTTAACTAAGACAAAAACCATATTACATTAATCCATCTATCTCATTAATGATAAAATATTTTCTTGCTCTTTTTTCTGGGTTAACTAAGACAAAAACAGTTATATTTTATATTAATTGAGTAATAATTATATTTTTTTGTTGTATCATATAATAATTATTATTAAAATTAATAATTATATTTTACACTAAATGATATATGAAAGTTATATAAACACAAAAAAAAAAATATTGTAAATTTTTTTTGTTCAAGTTATTTATTCTGAAATCAATATTAGATATTTTTATCTGATTAAACGATTGTTTTTCAAATAAATTAATTTGTATTAATGTCATAGTAAAATTTCTTAAAATCGTATAAGCAATTGTTATTATAAATTTAGTATTTTTTTATCTAATTAATTGTTAATATTTCCTCAAATTTACGAAAATTACATTATTTATGACATTTATGCAACCAATATAGTGATTCATATGCAATGAAATCGTTATGTACTATTTATATTAACCAATAGTCATATTTTAAACACAATACCATTATCTAACTTATAATTTTAATATTATGTGCATAAATATAACTTATAATACTATATATTTAAAATATAATACCATTATATTACTTATAATTTTCATATTATATGCATGCACATAACTTATAATATTTTATTTACATTCTGTGCAAGTACATAGGTGGAGTACAAGTTAAAAACTAAAAAGAAATTCATATTATAATTTTGGGATTAATAAATGTATAACTTATGTTCATATGTCATTTATATGACTCGTTTATAACATGGTTGGATATAAAAAATTTTGGATTTTTTGAATTTTTTTGTTTGATTTGGTTAATTTTGAAAACTGTAGTATAGTTAGTTGTTAGTGGATATATTAAAATAATATTTATAAAATTATTAAAATTGATTTGATGTAAAAGTAAGAGAGAGATGATTTGAAGTGATGATTAGTTAAAATAATGTGAGTGAATGAATAGTGAATTAAGGTTGATGTGATGTGTAAGAATGATTGATTTATATTATTTAATTATATTGATAATATTGATGATACGAGAAAATTGAGCTAAAATTAAGTTAAAAAAAAGTGATTGAGTTATAACATAGTGTCAGTTTCCCTGTGACTATGGGCCCTATTCAGAGTCACAGCCTCAAAACTTGCGTGCGTTCAGTCAAACAGCGTTGCCACGTCAGGTCAAACATGACCGAGGAGATTTCATTTCAAGACACCTGTCAATTTTCATCGGTCCTTTTTAATTAATTAATTTAAAAAGGTCCAATTTTGGTTAGAAGACGACACCCGTCGTCAACCGATTCGTACGACTCCAATATCCGAGCTGGCAAAAGTCCGAGGATGTACCGTACGACGTCGTGTCGAACGTGTGGTCGGCGTGGCTATTGTAACATCCACACAAGCCGTCAGCAGCACCATCAATTAATTCAAAACGGTACACACAACAGTATAGTTGTCAAAACCGAACCGGACCGGCCGTTCCGACCGGTTGAACCGGGAACCGGCCAGCTAACCGGTCCGGTTCAATGGAAGAAACCGGCTGTGGCCAAAACCAGTCAAAAACCGGTCAATGACCGGTCGGATCGGTCGAACCGGCCAAAAAACCGGTTGGTTCAACTGGTCATTTTTTTTTTTTGCCAATCGGGTCAAATAATTTTTATGTATAAATTATAACACTTTTATAAAGCAACTAACTTTTTATGGTTACCGATGTAAGACAAGATGTAAGAATTCTAAATTTTTTATTGCAAAGGTAAATGATTAAAGTCACGTGTGGAAGAAATTTCTTTTCCCTTTTACCTACGTGTGGAAGGAATTTTTTTTCCCATATCCCATCTTTATTTCCTATTATTTTATTGACCAATGTGGGAGTGTGAGGAAATATTTTTTTTTCCCATATTTTTGTACTTTCATTTTATTGCTTAATCTATCTATGGTGGGACCAACCTTTTAAAATATCATTAAATTAAATAACTTAAAAATTAAGTTAACTATATCTATCAAAAAATATATATATATATATATATTTAAAAATATCTATAAATTAAATAACGATCCAACCGGTTCAACCACTGGTCGGACCAGTGAACCATTGAACCAGTAGCTTGACCGGTTCGATGTCCGGTTTTGACAACCTTGCACAACAGTCAATCCACCGTTATCGTCGCCGTTACCGTTTTGCACCAGAGTTTCCAGCCACCAAACGGGCTTGCTTCCTTCCTCTATATGTATATATCCTCCAACTTTCGTTTGTGTGTTATTTCGACTCAGCCCAGAAAGAATTATTTAATTTTTATTACATTCAAACAGCTAAAGACTTCATATTTTCCTTTCTCTTACCGTAAATTTCAGGTACTGAGCTTTTCCGACACGTTTCAGTTTACGGGGGTTTTTCTTGATAGGTTTAATCTTTTCGCCTANTTTTATTTATTTTTTTAATTTTATATTGTGGCGGTTGTTGAAAAATTGGAAGCTGGAATTTACGAGCCATTGCTTGTTTTGGGCTGTTTTGTTTACTCACGTTATCAAATTGAATTTTTCTCCATTTTTGCTTCTATTTTGAGTGAAAATTGGACAATTCAACTTTTTATTTTTTAACAATATTTTCAGCAATTCGTTTTCTCATTTGCAATGATTATGAGAAGGGCCATTTGTAACTTTCATCGGTTTCTTGTAAGCTGCAAGTGAGTAAGATATGTCAAACTCTCTTTTAATATTTATCAGATTCTTGAACTGGGATTAAGATGCGTTGTCTGGAAATGGTATGGAGTAATACTATGTTTTCATTCTTAAAAGCCGTTCCTCAGCTCATCTTCTGTGTGACCTTTGTGTTGCTTTTCCTTTAACTTAGTTTTTCTTGAATAGTAGTTTAGGACCTATTGTTCTTGGAGCACTCTGTTTCATCTGTCTCTTTTGTGCTTGTTTGGGTGTACGTTTTGATTTAACTATGAGTTTTCTGAATTTCTGATGGCATGAACTAGCTGAACTACTCACTCTATCTATGTGCGTGTTTTCAAGTTCACTATACACTATGTAGTTAGTATAGATGGTTCAAAATGCTTGTGAACTTCATTTCCCGTGTACTTTGTGTTGTGACTTGTGAGAAATGAAGTCCAACATATACTGAACACAGTTGTGGCTGACTGGGAAAAGCATCTTTCTGTTTGAAGTTATACAGTTAAGCCACTAATCAATGTCGAAGCACAAAACTATACTACCTTCGTTTAATTAATCGTAAATTTCATTCACAGAAGAAATCCCCTATTTCTCCTTGGTTAGTTCACCACCATCCATCTTTTCTATTCCGCAGGTTGTGATATTTTCCTGCACATACAAAGCCGAGGGACATTTAGCCTTTCGTGCAGAGGTTTGTGGAGACTTTGGATTATTACTCTGGCTGTGTTCAAGTCGGTCGATGCGGCGATGGCGCGGGATAAGAAGGAGAGGATAAGCGCGGAGCAGCATTGCCTCGCGAGGGATATTGTGAACATTGTGGCGTGCAAGGGGAAGGAGAGGGTCGAGGGGCACGAGCTTTTCGGGAAGTGGAGGATGAGGTTCGTGATGGCCGGTTTTCGGCAGTTGCCGTTGAGCGCGTACGTGAACTCGGTGATTAGGGGTTTGCTCGGCTGTTACTCGGAGCATTACACCCTGGTGGAGAAGGATGGGGCAATGCTGTTGGGATGGAAGGGGAGGGATCTGGTGTCGGCGTCTGCTTGGTGCTGAGGGTGGACCTGCATTTGGTGGAATGGTTTGTTTTGTAGCTCAGCAGTTTACTTTAAATTTGTGAACTTTCCCATTATTATCAAGAAAACAAACAGATGAGCTGCAAATTGTGGAGATTTCATGTTTTCTGGCCATTGAAAATGGCATGGGCGCTAACCCACTCTCTTTCTTCCTCTTGGCTTTCTTCCCTCACCCTAGATCTTCATGTTTGCACACGCCAAAATTTATTGCTTTAGATTTGTGGAGTGGTTTTATTTTTTATTTTTTTTATTTATTTATAGGCTTTAATTATGAAGTGGTTAAGTGGGTTTATTTTATAAGCTTTACCTATGCTGTGGGTTAGGCTGATCTATTGGGCTTTAGTTATGTAGTGGGCTGATTTAAAGTGATCTGACTATACATGTAGCAACATGGGTTAGGCTGATCTAATGGGATTTACATATGTACTGAGATGATTTGAAATGTTTATTTAATATATGCAGTGCATGTGTAGGGTAAGCTGGGGCGGGCTAGGTCAGACCAAGTCAGGTTGGGGCCAATTTTAAACCGGAACCTGCCCCGCTTTTGTAAACAGGACAAACCCGGTCTGAACCGTTTTGAGAACAAGACAGTTTTTTTCTACCAATTGGGGCTCTCCCCTGTGTGTAATCCTAATTCAGTTGTACTGGAATTACCAAACACTTTATCATATAACTAGCTTTTCAGCTATAATCTATAGCCTCGAAAATTACTGATAAGCTACAAGCTAACTTATCAGCTAGTTTTACAAACATAGCCTAAATATTTTTGTACGTCTATTAAATAATTGCATGCTTTTAGATTTGACCAAGTCTTTTGTCCAATATCAGGTTTGTAATAAAAAAAAATGAATGATTTTTTTAGTATAAATAAGTCTATTGCCTTCGAGTTACAATTGCATTTTATTTCCTCTAATTTGTTGGTTTTCTAATCACAATTGTATTTTCTTTATGAGATTAGTAAAGTTGGCATAGCGATTAGCGGTGCCTTGAGACATGTGCAATATTTGTTGAACTTTTTTATCAATTTGGTGTGTTTTTTCTTTATTCATCATGTATTTTTTTGTATTAATTTATGCTGGTTTATTTACACATATAGTGGTGCTTTTTATTAAGCATTATAGTGTGTTTTTGTCTGTTGCGTTTGTTGTACCCCAACAAGTGGTACCAGAATCGAATATTCGACTAAGGCTTGTTTGGTGCGGCAAGTTGAATTCGAGCTAGACAAGGAGACAAATGGCATATCATTCTCTTCATTCATTCCGTCAAGGACGGTGATGCTGAACATTAGACACTTGGTGGAGATCTCCGATAGGTACCGAACGTTTAGGCATGTGGCAAGACGAAGTGCTGCTTTCAGCTAGGTGTCAACATCGCTATTGAAGATGAGAAATCAGAAAACATTGGTGAGAATATATGACTGAAAAACTATCAACTGCTTGCCATAGAATTCGTTCGTGTCCATTTGTACAAAGAGCATAAGCACACATTGAAGAATGATAACTCTACGCACACCATGTGGAAGAATTTGAAGGATATTTTCTGTAAGAAGAGTTGGTCATAATAATCTCCTCATGAAGAAGCGGTTATTCCAATTAAAGTACTGACATGACACATCGATCAACGACCACACCACTGCATTCAAGCACTTGTTTACAAATTTGTTGAAGCGATAGAAGATTTGGCTCTTAAGTTATCATCTCTTCTCGATGATGAGTTGATGAAGATGAATAAACAAGAGACGAAGAATTAATGCAACAACAGAAAAATGAATTGTTGGTTGCAAGAGATCGTTTGAATAACTAAAACAAGAATAGACGAAAAAGCTCACGTTCCAATGACAAGCCTTATACATCATTTGTTACAATTACACATTATTTTTTTATATAGTATCTTCTAAATAAATCCTAATTGTGCATGCAGGAGTATTCTTGTATGATAACATGGTGTATTATTTTCTTGGATCGTGCTACAGTGACATAAATAAATAATGCTACAAAGTTTGACATAATAACACATGTCATGATTATGTTACTTCACACATTATATCACTTTTAAAATTAATAACTATTAAGCTTACCCATCATTTTGGACATCTTTTATGTTACTAAATTATGTTAAAGTAGTGTAATCCCGGCATAGCACCCATAATAGCTAAGTGAACCGGTTAGCTTGGGATAACCGGTCCAGAGAAGTCTCAGCTCAGTGACGTGGCTCGACCTCGTTAAGAAGGTCGGTGTGATAGCTCGAGAGACAACTCAATATAGCTTGTGGATAGAGGCTTGACCTCTTGAAGGAGCTCGGCTAGGAGAAGATCCGTAGCGACCTGGAGGAAAGTTCTAAGGATCACATGAGGTCTGTTAGTGGCCTGATAAGAAATATGACGGGAGTGTCAAGTGGCCAGTGCTACAACCTAAAGGCCTAGCTAGGAAGCCATATTGGGGAAGGATATAGAATCCTGTTAAAATAACAAGTGTATTTCGCTCAAATAAGTAACCTCATAGACTTGTCATACTAGAAAACGATATGAAAATATATCGTTTCTAGTAATAAAGTAGCGTGGACAAGAAGACAACTCTTTATAAAAAGAGGTTATCATGTTTTTTAACAAATTACATGCAATATACTTTAGCATATCCTAGTTTATAACTATGAGCGCCATCTCTAATTTAAAGAGGTGTATTCAATTGAGATTTTAAGTGATATTTTAAAACTTTTTAAGATTTTCATGTTTTTGAGGAATTCTATGAAATCTTTAAGTGTAGGATTTGAAGTGAGATTTCGTATAAGATTTTTTTGTTTAGAAAACCCACCAAATCTTAAAAAGTATTAACAAATCCTAATCCTAGTGTAAAATAAATTAAATACCTCAGAATTTTGTAAGACTTTTTAAAATCCCAATTGAATACTCTAGGATTTTTAAAAGTTTTAAAAGATCTTAACAAATCTAAATTGAATACACCAAAATTTTTAAAATTTTAAAAAGATCCTTATAAATCCTAAATGAATACACCCAAATTGTGAGGTTTCTCTACCAAGACTCATCTCGACGTATTTTACAAGTGATCGAAACTCGAATTTAAAGACGATTAATATCGCCGGTCTGACCCCAATCTTGAGACAATTTGCACGTCAAAGCCTATTTTCTTTCTTATCATTTTGATGCGTCCTTTATCCTCTCTCTTTAGATACATATCCACCGAAAATCAAACACAAATTAGTTTTCCACTTGCAAATCAATCAAAATATTCCCAGGAATATTTTACTTTCCACTTGATCAATTTTTGCCCTCACCTATAATCGCCGTCGTCTCTGACAAATAAACAAGAATCAACGGACAAGATGACGTCCACGTGTACAGTACACTATCCTACTTCAATGTCTATCTGAAATCCCACATTACCATTGTTTGTTGTATTATGCGACTCAATTCAAACTCCTATCCACACAACACACCTATAAAATGAGGACACTATTCAGCATATTCCCATTACTCCCAAAATCCTCAAATCTCGTAATCTCCCCAAACTAAGGGGAGGATAAAGAAAATATAAATAAAAAAATAAATAAAACAAAAAGATAGACAACGAAAACACAACTTTTTTCTTTTTAAAAATGGTCGTCGAGAGCCAATCGGACCTCCGGTCGCCGCTGTTCGGGCCGGAGGATGAGGCCCGATGGAAGCCCGAACCGGTCGAGAGGCTGTGCATCGACGAGATGCTGACGAGGCACTGCGGCGAGTTCGGGCCGTGGCAGCTGAAGCATTTCTTGCTGACTAGCATGGCGTGGGCGCTGGAGGCCTTCCACACGATGGTGGTGATTTTCGCCGACCGGGAGCCGGCGTGGCGGAGCTCGGTGGCCGGGGTTAGGAGCCTGTGCGGGCTCGAACCGGGCTCGTGGGAGTGGGTCGACGGGCCGGGCTCGTCGACAGTGTCTGAGTTCGGGCTGATTTGTTCGGAGAAGTATAAGGTGGGTTTGGTGCAGGCCTTGTTTTTCGCCGGCTGTATGATAGGTACGTTTTTTTTTTTCCTTTTTTTTATTTTTTTTACCTCTCTTTTCTCCCATTTTTTGTTCTGAAATGGTGGATCGCCGTTTAATGCGAATTAGTAATTTTCTTTAAAAGATACTAGTTTCTAATTTTTGAAATATGAAAGTTATGATAAATGAAATATATGTTAATCCATGAGATAGACTGTTAGATGAATAACACTTGGATTCAAATTATATTCAGTATGCTATCAATGCTAATTTCTAAATTTAAAAAGAGGAACTAGATAGTAATCCATCCTCTTGTGCATTACACAAGAAAATAACATAAACTTTTTTTATATAAAAATAACAACTAAAATAAAAGGTTATTTAATTATATGTATTAGTATTACATGTATAATTGAATTGTTACATTAACTAAGTAAGTTATAACTTAATAATTATCACATTATAGTTTAATTTTTAGGTTTAATAGTAAAATAATATAAATGTGGAATTTTTTATATATTAATATAACGATTAATATAATTTTTTATATACTTTGAGCATTATCTTGATAATAATTATAAAGTAGATGATAAAAATCATAAAGTACTACCAAAGGACGAAAAGTGTATAAATCTAAAATGGACAATATAAATCTTATATACCATATAAATTCATCGTATTAAAAGAATTACCCTATTATATTAATAATATAATTGCTCTATTGATTGAGCGTGATCTCAATAGACAAATTGTTTGACTCCTATTCTAGTATGGGACAGGGCAAATATTATGTTAACTAGTTGAAAGCAAGGTGACAAAATTCCAAATCACAAAGGTATTAAAGCCAAACACAAATATTGGACTGAAACATAACCTATGAAGAAAACCAGTATATAATTTTTAATTTAAAGATTATGATTTGACAGGCATAAATTATACTAGATCGGATCGAATATGCTAGCTAATAAGTCAGATTAGGAGGCCTATGCAAGTTGTGTTTCAAATTTATTTAGACTTGAATGTCTGTTTCTTTCTTTCTTTCTTTATTTAATTTTTTTTTTTTTTGTTTTATTCAGAAATANTTTAATATTTTCTTTTTTTTTTTCTATGATTTTCCGTTCAAAGCTACCTTGATCTTTGTTGCATTCACGTTTGGCTTTTATCCCTAATCACACTCTTGTGCTTATGTCATTATCTACCTAATCATGTTCTGCACCATAGAAGAATCTTTTGTGGTATCAAATTATCTAAACATTAGTACTTGCTGGGTGACCAAATACTTCACCTTATTTGCATATTATCAATAGTGAACATAATTCCAACGTAAAAAAAACAACTATATGATTGGAATGCTTATTGTAGTACACTACAAGAAAATGATGAAATTTCATCCAACAAAAATATTCCGTTGGAATGAGTTTTCCATTGGAATTTTCGTTGGATTTTGACGATTCCAACGGTGGTGGAAATAAAAATTTCAACGAAAATTATATATTCCAACAGAAATTCCTACGGCCAACAGCCGTTGGAATCATCAAATTCCATCTAAAATTTCAATGAAAAATACATTCCAACGGAGTATTTTCGTTGGAATCATTCCCACGGAAGCTATATCATTGGAATATTTGTTAAAATTTCCATTGAAATATATTACCATTGGAATATAACAATTTATCCTAGAATATAACAATTTTTTAATAGTGAGTATAACAAACTCGCGCAACATCATACTTGAGCTTGTGGTTTTGTCTTCACACTCACACTCATAAACTCACGACCAACCTCATGTCTACCAAATGCCCGGTCGGGCTTCTGGAAAATCCTAATTCAACCAACAACTATCATTCATCATTATTCTAATAAATATTTTCCGACGCGTCATCTTTTTTCAAATTTTTATTTTTATTTAAATTTTTATTTTTATTTTTTTTCAGGCGCCGGAGTTTTCGGCCACCTTTCCGACTCCAAACTCGGTCGAAAAGGCTCCCTCTCGGTTGTTTGCCTCCTCAATGCTATCTTCGGATGCCTCACGGCCCTCTCCCCGAACTACGCCGTTTACGCCGTCCTCCGCCTCCTCACCGGCTTCAGTACCGGCGGCGTCGGCCTCTGCTCTTTCGTCCTCTCCACCGAGCCCGTGGGCCCCACCAAGCGCGGCCTCGCTGGAATGTCGACTTTCTACTTCTTCTCTGGCGGGATCGCCGCCCTCGCCGGAATCGCCGCCTTCTTCACTGCGTCCTGGCGGACCCTCTACGTCGCCACCTCCCTCCCATCCCTCGCCTTCCTCCTCACCGTCCTCCCGTTCGTCTCCGAGTCCCCCCGTTGGTGCCTCATCAGGGGCAAAATCGTCCAAGCGACAAATATCATGCGGAGCATCGCCCGGGACAACGGGAGGCCCATGCCGGATAACGTCGCCCTCGCCCTCGACGAGGACAAAAACGGGAACTCTGGGTCAGAGAAAACGGGCTCCTTGATCGACGTGGTCCGTTCGCGCGTGACGCGCACCCGGCTCTTCTTGGCTGTGAGCATCAACTTCTTTTGCTCGGTCGTGTACTACGGGTTGAGCCTCAACGTCGTGAACCTTGGGACGAACCTCAACCTCAACGTGTTCCTCAACTCGGTGGCCGAGATGCCGGCTTACTTGTTGACCGCGCTCTTGTTGGATAGGTTCGGGAGGAAGCCGTTGAGCGTCGGGACCCAGTGGTTCAGTGGGGCGTTCTGTGTAATCGGGTTTTGTCTAAAAGGTTACGGGGTGTGGAAGACGGTGAGGATGGTGTGTGGGATATTGGGGATATTCGGGATGGCCGCGACGTACAATTTGTTGTTCATTTACACGGTGGAGCTTTTTCCGACGGTGGTGAGGAATGCAGCATTGGGGTCGGCAACCCAAGCAGCCCAGATGGGCGCCATATTGGCGCCGTTGATCGTGGTGCTTGGGGAGCGAGTCCCGTTTGTGGTGTTTGGGGCTTGCGGGATTGCGGGAGGGGCTCTGGCGTTGTTGCTGCCGGAGACGCTAAACCGGCCGTTGTACGACACGATGGCCGGGATGGTGGAGGGGGAAAGTTGTGTCGCGTGATTCGCGGTGGGTCCCCCCTCCCTTTTTCTTAATTTCCTTTTAATTTTAAATTGTTGTTTAGTTTTGCAGTTAGCTAGTTGAGACAACTAATAAAATGGATGATGTTACAGTGACATAAAGAATGACATAAACTCGGACATAATAAAATTTGTCACAAGAATGACCCATCACATTTCAAATCAATAACCGTGAATAAACTTTGACATAATAACGCATGTTCGTGTTTTTTTACATATCGCATCACCCACGTCACTTTTGGTTATCCATTATGTCAATCTATTATGTTGAAAGAATTCCGTTATTTCGGTCCGCTACGCATCCACTCTGTTGCGATTTGAGGCGTCTCTTTGGTTAGCTTTATCTTTTCCGGTGGGGCTTTCGAGGGGGTCCTTGGGTCTCTGTCTGCAGACGGGTCAGTGACGGTTTTGGGGAAGGTGCGGGTCGAAGGGTGGGGCAAGGCTCCGTCTGCTGTGATGCAAGTCGGAGTTGAGGGATCGAACTGCTTTCACTCCCTGTTCCTCTGGTGTTCCTCTGGTGTTGGGGACGGAGAGTGACCTTGTGCTACCGGCTCGGCTAGTGGTGTAACACCTTTTGGTGGTGCAGGTGTGCTGTGTGGTTCGTTGTCCCTCTGATTGGAGGTGGGTCATTTTGGGGAAGAGTTTGGTGTCTGGTTTCGGCTTCTGTATAGGCAATTTGGCAGTTTCAGTTGTTGTTTTCGGGCTCTCAAATCTCTCTCTGAAATTGATTGTTCATCTGCTGATTTGACTCGATTTCTGCTGTGGAAGGGCGTTGATTGTTAGTAGTTTAGGTTCTTATTTTTTAGTTTTATTTCGTGTTTGTGTTTGTGCTTGTGTTGATTAGGACGTGTGTTTTTTGTTTGGGCCATTTGGCCTCTGTGAGCCCGAGCGTCAACTTATTATCCTGTTGGGATCGGACACTCGGGTATTACCCTGTTGGGGTCTTTTTAGTTTCGTAGTGTTTTTGTGTGTTAGTGAGTATTACTCCGTTGGGGTCGGCTCTAGGCTGTCTTTTGACTGTCCTCCTACTTTATTCGGCAGTTGACTGTTTGTATTCAGCTGTTGGTTGTTCGTATTCAGCTGATGGCTGTTCTTTTGTACGTTTATATATAATATCTCTATCGTTTCGAAAAAAAATAAATAAACAAATAAATAAATAAATAAATAAATAATCCCATTTTGTTATGGGTTGCTTATTCAGGGGAGGAAAGGTACGTAATTTGTTGGATTATGATGCTCATGTCTATTTATGGTTATCCATTATGAATCTATTATGTTGAAATAATTTTACTCCTTAAAGAACCTTCTCATGTCCCGTTTTGTTACGGGTGGCTTATTTATGGGGAGGAAAGGTATGTAATTTGTGGGATAATGATGTTTCTGATGTGTATGTTTATTTATACACACATAGTACTAAGATTAATCTCCTGTTTTTCCTAAAATTAATCTCATTTCTTGTTTGGTTTGGCAACTATACATACACAGTCTAAGCAGTAATCTTGTTTTCTTCTGTTTTTCCTAAAATTAATCTAATTTCTTGTTTGGTTTGGCAACTATACATACAGAATCTAAGCAGTAATCTTGTTTTGGTTTGCCGTTTGCCAAACAATTTAATCTCTTGTTTGGTTTGTCAACTATACATAGTCTAAGCAATTATCTTGTTTTGGTTTGCCGTTAACGATTAATCTCTTGTTTGGTTTGGCAACTATAATCCCTTGTTTGATTTGTTTGGCAACTATACACCCACATCTCCTAAGCAATTAATTTCTTCATCTTGTTTTTGTATTTGTTGTCAAACGATTTAATCTCTCTTTCATCAATCTCTTGATCTTGTTTTTGTTTGCCAAAAAATTTGACCTCTCCTCATCTTGTTTTGGTTTGCCAAACAACTAATCTCCTGGTTTGGCAACTATACAAACACATAGTTTAAGCAATTAATCTCCGGATCTCTATCTAAATTCGTAGCAAAGACAGTCTCATTTTCCTGGCGATGAAATTGTGTCATAATAAGTCCAAATTTGTAGCAAAAACATGATGTGCAAGCAATGAATTTCTGGGTCTCTATCCCTTGGTTTGGCCACTATACAGATACAGTCTAAGCAATTAATTCTGAACCTAGATATCTTGTTTGGAAGCAATTAATTCTGAACCTAGATATCTTGTTTGGAAGCAATTAATTTCTTTAAAATTGTAACACAAAGATGATGAATTATGTCATTGCAAGTCCCAATTGGTAGGAAAACAGTCTCATATATTTGCATGATGATGAAATTATGTGATTATAAGTTCAAATCTATAGCAAAAGAATGATGCAATAACTTGTTTGATTAATGTCATGATCTCTTGTTTGGCCAACAACAAATTCAAGAACTTCGCCAACAGCAAAACTTGGCGAAAAGCAAGACTTAGCTAACACCAAAAAGGGTCACACAGAATTTCAACAAGTACTAAAAAAGTTAGAACTCAAAATTCTGGAATCCCAACAAAGTATAGTAATATCCTCACAAAAAATAGTCTTAGACAAGCAAAATCCAAAATTCAAACCAAGTCTGATACAATACCAAACAGAATTNAAAAAAAAAAAAAACACTCCTTCCTTCTTCACTTAAAACTCTAAAAAAGCCTTACTTGTCAGCCTTAGCAGCTGTGGCTGCAGCTTGACCACGCAGACGACCAGTCCTCCTGGCAGCAATAAGACCGACCTTCTGTCCAGGTGGCGCATCACGGCGAACTGTGCTCGCGTGACCAATGTGCTGATGGTTACCACCACCATGAGGATGCTCGACTGGATTCATAGCAACACCACGAACCTTGGGCCACGAGTTTCTCTTCACTCTGAACTTGTGATATGCATTTCCAGCCTTCAGCATAGGCTTCTCAGTACGCCCACCTCCTGCAATCTGCCCAACCATAGCTCGGCAACCGCTGGGTATGATTTTCTTGGCTCCAGAGGGTAGCTTAATCCTATACAAAGAATAAGGTTACAAGACACCGATTTTAAAGAAAGGTACCAGCTTAAAAAATCAATTTGATTGATAATCAAAATTTAAGGTTTTCACTTATTGGGCTAGTAAGACATTGTTGCAAATAAGACTATAGGAAAATCGGGTGTGAAACTAGCGAGGAGTATCAAACATGTGGAAATCCCTGCAAGATCATATGCAAAATTTTCAGCTTCCAAACAACGAGTATGTATGATTCTCTTTGCATGGGAGGGGGATTCATAGAAAAGCAAAGGAACAAAAAAATTATAGGCGAAGGCAAAGAACTACAGCAGTGACGAAACACTTATGACCAGACGACAATATAGAGAAGCATAGATATACAAAATGGTTTGTGAGTCCTTCACATTACAATTATACCAATAAACTGAAAATTCCCACTCAAGCAACTCCCTAGAAAGTGAAATTGGGACCAGCTTAACTTTTGCAAGATAAAAGTCTAACTTCAAATTCAGATCCCTGGCTCAAATTATACAATAACAGGACCAGCCATTGCTTACAAATACATTACTGATATTGGGATTAAAAGGCACAAGAAAGAAATCCCACCTCAGCTTGTTCAAATAATTTTATACTCTAAATCACACATCACTAGAAGCCACGCACATAGAATAATTGGATACATTTTCGAAACATAACAAGAATGTATACTTTTGAGGCGAGCTTAAGGTTAGTTGGGTCGACCCTGCACTCATTTTTAGTCAAAAATGTCTAGGTTTGCTAAGAAATGTCGAACTTTTGTTCATAATGTTTTTAAAAACATGACATTTTAGTTTGAAAATATGTTATTGGCCTATTGCAAGATTATATTATACACCTACCAAGCAAAATAATAAACTACCGATTTTTCTCTTGACCTTCTCAACATATACACAGGCAAGCACCAAAAAATGAAATAGCACTATTCAGATCAAATTCAGCAATTTGCCAAGAACATTACCTGGAAGTATCATTGTCAGGATTGTGTGAGATGACAATAGCATAGTCCCCAGACGCCCGGGCGAAAACCCCGCGATCCCCGACGTGGTGCTCGACGTTGCAGACGACGGCGCCCTCCGGGATAGATCTGATGGGCAACACGTTGCCGACGACAAGGTTGGCCTTCTTTCCGCAGTACACGAACTGGCCGGTGTACATGCCCTCGGCGGCCACGAAGAGCTCCTTCTGGTGCTGGTAGCGGAACGGGTGGCGGAAGGTGACGCGCGCTAGCGGCGCGCCGCGGCCTGGGTCGTGGATAATCTCGGTGACGACTCCCTTGAGGTAGCCGTTGCGCTCGCCGAAGTCGAGGGAGCGGAATCGAGCCGGGCCCTTGCGGTGGTGGGTGTGGGACTTGAAAACGGACCCTGCTCCCTTACGCTGTGCGCGAATCACACGGCCCATGATCGGCGGTGGGTGAGGTGTGTGAACTGTGTGGATTTGGGGCGGGGGAAGAGAGGCGGCAGCGGAGGGAGAAAATGAGAAATGGTGGTTGAGTAGATATAGGGTTTTTGGAGAAGATGAAATGAGGCTTGCCCTAGGGTTTGCTAGTGAAACAAATGGGCCTGTTGTAGTTGTGGCTCAATAGTGGTGGAACGGGCCTATAAGAATGTATCTGAGTTTGCTAGCAAGGCATTATTATGGGCCGTGGCCCGTGGGCTTTTATTATGGTTACAATAGAAATAATGGAATTTCCGAGTATGCCCAAAAAAAATTATTCCATTATGTATGTATTTCCACTTCTACATATTTCTCGTTCCTTTTTTGGCTTTTTTATAACAAAAATATATTTTTTGTGTGTGTATGTGTGCCTGTGCGTGTGTTCCTTCTTCATTTTCGTTCAGAATTTTTTTTTACATGATTTTTTGTTCTTCTGGCATTCATATAGTTTTTTTGAAAAACTTAAGTTAGTTAATATTTTATTCTTTATAGATAGTTGTTTTCATGTTGGTTGACAAATTTATATTGTTTTTTCTTGTTACATATCTTGTTTGTTGTTTTTATAATATATATCATTAGTTTTTAAAGTTATAATAACAAACCTTTTGCGGCATTTTATTTAATTTAATTGTTATGTATTATATAACCAATTGATTAAGATTTTTATTTACTTATGTATGGAGAAGAAAAGGAAGAAGAAATATTTGAAGAAGAAGAAGAACAAGAGAAGAAAAGAGGAAGAAAAAGAGAGAATTATGTGGAGAAATAGAATGAGGAGAGAGAAGGAAGAGAGGTAAAGAAAACAGGCGAGGAAGAGAGATAAAGAATTATAAACCTATTGTCCTTACAATACTCCACTTCTCTAATTATTTTTCTGGTAAACACTCTGACTTAGAAGCCTACAGTGGTTATGCCGACAGGCATATGAATACTTTCCTCAAATGTCGTGACAAAAACAAAAAAGATAAAATTGCCTACTCCCGTAAGAACAATAACTGAAAACATATGAGCTCTCAAAATACTCGATGCAGGTCAATCTCTCTCTCTCTCTCTATATATATATATATCGCGGCCGCGGAGGCTGAAATTCGCAGAAAAAAAAAGATAATTCCTCATTTGCTCGCTAGTGGGGGTGAAGTGGTCGGTTTTTGGGGCTTGTTTTGTGGCACAAACACCTGAAAAATGGGATTGAAGTCTATAAGAATATCCTCCATCTTCATCCATAAAGAAAAACCCATTCATCCATCCTTGAATAAAGGGGGGTTCTTCCGCCCTCTACACCTATCTCTTCTTCACTTTTCTTTAGTTTTTTCTTAAGTTTTCTTTGGTTCTTCAAGTGTGGAGAAGAACATTTTCAAGACTTGGACATTGTGGATTTGGTTTGTACTTGCACTTGACATTGGATTGCACATTATTAGTAAGTTTTCTTCTTTTTCATTGTGTTCATGATGTTGAGAATGGCTTGTTTTGATGTGAATTCTTGTGTTCAAATTGCAATGTGTGGCTAATTCTCTAGCTAGGGTTAAGGGATAATCATTCCGGTTTGTTCTTGTTTATGTGCATGACGATAGCTCAATCTTGACGAGTTGTTTTAATTATGAATTGATAAAATCATACTTGATAAATTTTTGTAACCTAAGGTGACACTTAGGTTAATTTGTTGATATAATTAAAGAGTGACACTTTGATTCGTGATTGAATATTTATTTGTTGAGTTAGAGTTTGTTAATTCTACGAATTGCGACTTTTAGAACCGAAAGGGGAGGAGTCGTAGAGATAATCGATTTCAAAACCGAGAGGGGAGAAATTGGTGGAATTTGGCTCGTTAAGAGTAGACATGTTCGGAGACGTATTGTCTATGTGTTAATTGTTTCGCTAATTTGCTCTTTTATGTTCATCCTCATATTACGAGAGTTAGTGAGGTTAAACCGCTAAATGAGTTAGTTAGCCGAACCATTTAACCGAGTTATTGATTGCCGTAAAATGTGTGTAGAACCGGAAGCGATTATTCCCGATACCCTAGCTCGTCTATCGTTTTATCGTTTATATTCTTAGGTAGATTACCGTCTTATGTTATTTTTTTAGTGGATAATTTTCCAATCCTATCGTGATTAGAATGTTTAGGATTTATTTTGCTTTTATGTGTTATCGATACCACTTCTAAATTCCGAACCGTCTTCCTCGAGAGATCGACCCGGGAAACGAATCATTCGATTCGGTGCTCGATAAAATTAAAATAATTTGCTACAACAAATTTGGCGCCGTTGCCGGGGATATATATAGTACGTGAGTCTTCAGAATCTTCAGAAATCTTCAAGATCCTCAAAATCGCCTTAAATATGAAAGTCCTGAAGCCATTTAGAAACACGTAGTTCCTTATTTGTGAGACTAGTACAGAGCTCGTGCGATGCACGGGGTGCACAATTTTAAGGCTATTTATCCAGGCTTATAATTATATACATGAATAAAGAAAAATATACGGGATATATATAGTACGTGACCCGTGGATATATTTATTTGGAGAATATTATATTATAAGATGAAATATTCAATAAAAGTTTATAATACGCAAGAAAATTGTACAATGTTCAATAAAAATTTTATAATATTCAAGTGGAGTCTTAAAGTCTCTTGTACATTAAGACTACTGACAAAATAATATTTTAATCAATGAGTTTCCTTTCCTTGTAGCCAAATTGTGAATGTGATTTGAGGAGTACAACAAATCGATATATAGCTGACTTGCTTTTTTCATTGTAGTTTTTTTTTTTTTTTTTTTTTTTTTATAATGAATTTAAAGATATTCTAAAATATAGCAAAAATTAATTTTTTTATTACAATTAGGAATTTTACTAAATATAAACTCTCAATCTATGGTGTTAATCAACGTTTAAGTCTAAAAAATTAGGAATTTTTACCTCTTTTAATCAACGTTTAATTTTAAAAAACAATAGAGTTATTATAAATTTTTTTTTCTACATCTTTTAAAACATTAAATATGAGCATGTTAGGGCTAGCTTGTAAAATAATTAATATATTATCTCACTAAAACATTTATACTAATAAAAATTTAATTTTAGCATATAAATTTATCTCTTGATATAAGATAAAGTAACAGTTTTACTTATTGTTGTTAACCATATAATATTTAATTATTATTTTATTATATAATAAAATAAAATATTGTTAAATAGTGTATTAGAATTGTTATAAAATTATATGATTTTTTTTTACAATATGGATTTAATATTTTTTTATGATTTGATAATATAAATAAATCTATACTTAACTTTGAAAAAAAAACAAATAAATACTTTTGTAAGTATTTAATGTATATACTAAATAAGAATATATTTTGTATAATCAAATACCAAATATAATCAAATAAGTCAAAGTGTACATTTTTATTTGGTATTTGATTTTTTTATTATTAAAATTTTTTTATTATACTTACCTTTTTAAAATAAAATAAATAAATAAATCAATTAAATAAATAAAATATTATAATACCAAAATAGTAATGATATTTAATGCAGTTGACTTTTCTGGATAGTAAATGTAGTAAATAGAATCTCCTTTTATATAAGTATAGATATGATATTATATTATGTTGCTCAAAATAGTAATGCATTTATTGCATTGACTTTTCAACTTACTAAATTTCGTAAATGGTACACTTTATTATATAAGTATAGATTCGATGGATCTTGTTATAACTGCTTCATATCTATAATATTCTTCTTCTTTCTAAGTCATTGCCGCGTTCAACTCCTTTAGCCCCGTCCAGATCATTTTCATTTGGTGTTCCTTCCTTATATAAGAAAATAAATCTAAATAAAATCTAACTCGATATATATCAATAAATACACAAGAAAACTAAGTAAATAAACCAATAATTGTTTTATTTTGTCTTGCATTCTTGCTCATTTTCCAAGTGACTCATAAAAAAATAATAAATAACAAATGGAGTTATTTGAGTTATGTAATTTCAAAATTGTTAGATGACTTGTTTTATGCTATTTATTGTTGGGTGTTTGCTATTTTGTTTTTTTTTTTTGTTTTTATTTATATATTTGGGCATTGCTCATTTTCCAAGTGACTCATAAAAAAATAGTAAATAACAAATGGAGTTATTTGAATTATGTAATTTCAAAATTGTTAGATGACGTGTTTTATGCTATTTATTGTTGGGTGTTTGCTATTTTGTTTTTTTTTTTATTTATATATTTGGGCATGGTAGGATTTGTCTCTTTGATTTGACATTTTTCTTAGAGTATCTCCAATGTGGTTTTTAACTTTATAAAAATTCATTCATATCATCAACTTTTGAAAGTGTGTTACTAATTTATTCTCCAATGCATCTTGTCATGAGCTCTTTCATAATGAGGTGGATAATATTTAATATTGACAACGTTGAACACACTTTCTAATATCTAATACCATGTAAACATGATTGACTAATCAATTCATTTTATATTTGATTTAATTTTTTATTGTTCTTGTATTAATGATGATTTTAATTGGTCTACCTATACAACTATCTTCTTATCAAATTAATGCATTGGAGATATTAGTTTGATTCAAATTTATATTTTTTTAGTATTATTCCTACATGAATTAATTTACAATCATTAATTTATATGTGTTAAAAATTATTGTATGCTATAATATTGAAGATGCTCTTTATTAAATTGGTAGTGATTTATGCGTACATGACAAAATTATGAATGACCCAAGGACCGAGGACCGGCCACTCAGCCGCTGATGCCGGTGCCAGACAGCACGTGCGGGCCCCACCTCACATTTTATCAATATCGTACTCTAAAAATTGGGCCTAAAGCAACCCAATGATTGCGACATGCTAATTTTTCATATATTAAAAAAGTAAATTTCGAACTGAAAAAGTGCTCTGAATTTGGACTTTCATGGGGCCCATCTAAAATGGATCCAATGAGCGTTAAAAAGCAAATAATAGAACCGTGAAGAGTGGGGCCCAATTGCATCAACTTTTGCATCTGACAGCAAAACATCCCCCAATGGGCTAGTGAGTTACTAACCACTATATAACCAATTGATGGAACTATAAATTTTTTTAAGCATGTTTTATTTTCTATTTAAAACAAAAAAAAAAAAAAAAAAAAANTAAAAAAAAAAAAAAAAAAAAAATTCCACAATTGGATCTTGTTTTTTGTTTGACTTATTTCATAGTACAAAATATTGGTTCGCTTAAATCTTGGATCGCTTAATTGTTGGACGAGTTGATTTTTAATAGAAATGCATATTTACGGTATTCATACGCAAATTGCCTTGAATCGGTTGAATCGTGAACCACGAACCTTCATTAGCCCATAGCTCCGACAGCCTGCAATACGTTGGGAGGAGTCCCAACGAAATAGTCTCTGACGCTCAAGTCAGTGTATGTCTGCGATAAACATCGATAGTATGCACGCAAGTTAGTGTACGCATATGTGTTTTGTGTAAAGCAAAATAACTTGGACCTTATATACCTAGGGTAACTCACTTGCTAAGAGAGTCATAGTTAGGCAAGAGATTCTCTCACATCTACTTTCATAATTAGCAAGATCTCTTGAATCTGAGAGTCCTTATCAATATGTGCTTTTCGTATCTAAAACTTCCCCCTTTGAGATGACCTGGTAGAACTCAACAGATTATACCGTCTTCTCTTAAACCACTTCTCCTTAAACTCCACTCGTACTCTCGTCGGGTTTATCATGCTAAGCCAAGCTCGACTTGACATATGTAAAATATTATATTATTTATGTTTTCAGTAGAATATAAGATTCTAGTTTTAAAATATGTATATCTTAGAAAAGCATACTTACCTAATATTTGGCATGTCTAACAGTAGCAACATCTGAATAGATTACTTGTGATTTAGAGGAAAAAATTAGAACGGGTAAGTTTGATCACATGCTTATCAAATGTATACCTCTGAAATAGTTTATATTATTTTGAATCACAACTTTCCGGGCTTTAATTGGAGGAATTTTATAGTGCAAATGTCAATAAATAAAATAAATAATTAGAAAGATGTGTATTCATGAAATTAGAGTGGTTGGGAGAAGATGGTTTAGCCTTTGGAGGCTTGGAGCTGCATATGTAAATTACTAATAAAATATATGACCACAAAATAAATAAATGTTAGAAAATTAGCATTTCTGATCTAGTAATATTAATAATCAGTTGATCTGATCCCAACACCGACTACCCAACATATTATACCAACTCCTAATATATACTCCAAATGAAGCAGTAATAATATAATCTGCAGAGAAAAACTAAATTACAAGAACACCGAGAGGCATTTTTTTTCCATTTCCTTTTATCTTTTATCTTTGTGCTGCAAATGCCTTCTCTTTTACGGAGTTTTCCATTAGTAAACCTGTAATCAAAAGCCAAACCCATTAGTTTAGTTAGTTTATTTAAGTAAGTTCAGAAAAATTGGAGATTAATGAAATTTATTTATTCCCTACTATCATTTGTGACCCAAACGCTACTTCACAAGAAGAGATAAAGATAAGAATCGACAGCCATAAATGGCAGTAAATTAAAAAATTTCTGTTATTCATCCAAAATCAACTGACAAGACCCCACCAATTTAATACACCTTCTGGAATTCAAAAGGGCGGTTTTAATTTCTGACAAACACTAAATCAAAGGCATGAAATTGCATGAAAATGGACCCAAAAATGGAAGCAGAATTCTTCAATTTTTATTTTATTTTATTTTATGTAAGAAAAATGTGTGGAATTGCATTAAAAGCCCAAAAACGGAAGCAAAATTCTTCATTTTTTTTTTTATTTAGCAAACAAGATTTTACGTACCCACCAAAAACAAAGGGGAGTAATGCAAAAGGGAATCTTTAAAATTGAAAACATAAAACAAGGAAGTAAAAAAAATGTTAGCTTTGAAACAGGGCCGTGTTAAAAAAAGACAACCTTGAAATTGAAAATATAATAACATGAGAGNAAAATGGGCAGCTTTGAGTTAGATATTGAAATAAAAAAAAAACATGGGAGTGATAAAAAAGCAATCTTGACTCACTTTCAGCACTGCAATCAGGTGGGTTTTCAAATACAGACAAAGACAACTGCTTATGTGCAACGCCGATATCGATGAGTATAAGGCCCGAACCCGGTTCGCCAACAATTATATCCTTGACCGGAAGCCATAGAAAAAGCTCCTCTTGCGAAAGCCCCTCGACGCCCGTTAGGCTTCCATAGGTGAGGTTGGCCCGAACCTCGCTTTCGTAAAATGCCATCGTGTCGAATTTTGTGAGGCACGGCCCGTCGAGGAAGACCTCGAGAAGGCCCGAGCCCGAGAAGCTGTAGGAACGGACGTCACGTGGGAGAAGGCCCGCCGGAAGGCCCATGGATCGGAGGAGGTCGTGGATGGAGGAGGCGGCAAGTGGAAGAGATGGAGAGAGTGTAAGGAAGAGGAGGAGGAGGAGGAGAGAGGAAGTGGGGTTGGGGTTTTGTAAGGAAGCCATAAGAGAGGAAGGAGAAGAAAAGGGGAAATGGTTTGAGGAGGAGGAATAAAAAAATGGAAGGGGAAAATGGGTTTTGATTATAGGGATTTGGGAGGGGGGGTTTAAGCCTTTAAGGAGTGGTTTAGGGGTAAAAGAGTATGTGTGTGGAGGGAGTTTTGGGGAAGTTAAAAGAAGCAAAAATTCTATAGAGTTTGATCCACGATGCGTTGACATTTGTCTAAAGTGTATTTATTATAGGACACTTGTTAATATACCATTTTGTTAATAGTTGTAGATGGCTATACAAGTCGTGTCATATAACGACTTCATAGTAAAATTGGTTAAAGAATGTGCATGTTTAAAAGGGTGGAGGGGTGGGTTTGTTGAGATTTGACCTGGTTTTGCTTTGGTGATTTGCCCTTGAGTGTGAATGGTTGGTGTTGCTTGGGTGCACAATTATGATAGGAAAATGGTGGGGGGTTGGGAGAGAGTAGTTGACCTATATTGGACCATAGTTTGAGTGGATTGAACCCAACATGGTATCTATGTATTGTATGATTGTTATTTTTTATATGCCGAACAATTATGTTTAATCGTTTACAATTTCATACTAGTATAATATCCGTGTATTACACGAATATTTGAAAAAAAAATGATACTTTTACAACAAAAAGAGTAACATATTGTCATATTGTAAACAATAGATGCACAATAAAAATCATAAAAAACTAACAAAGTGATATTATTCAGCATAAAATCTGTGTTTACTGTTTTTTCGTGAAAAATTATAATTTTTTAATTACATTATGAAATTATATATGTCCAAAATAAATATTATCTATAATACAATAAATTTAGTTTCAAAATTTTTAGTTTATTTAAAGTCTTATATTGTTTCAATTTATAGAGTTGGTCTGGCTCATACAATAAATTTTCAAGTATTTTAAATTTATAATATTTGACGATTTGTAATATAAGTTAGTATACACAAATGTAATATTTTATAACTTTATGAAATTTAAAAATTATTTTAATATGTATAGTTATGATATTCATTTGTATTTTGTATTTTCAACATTATAAGTTAAAATAATCTATATACTTTATTTAAGTTATTTGATATTTCAGAATTTAGTGTAATAAATAAATTTAAGTTTTATTTATAAATACATGATATTATCTTCATATTATATATGCAATATGGATGTTAAATAAAAAAAAAAACATCTTCAAAGATGGTTAATTTGATATATCATTTGTAAATAGATTGACTTGAGTTGGTTTGGCTTGGTGATTTGCCCTTCAATTTGAACGGTTGGTGTTGTTTGGGTGCACAATTATGATTGGGGGGTGGTTGGGAGAGAGTAATGGACCCATATTGGACCATAGTTTGAGTGGATTGAACCCAACATGATGCCTGTGTATTGTACGACTGTTATTTTTTATATGTCGAATAATTATGTTCAATGGTTTTCAACATCACACTAGTACAATTTTCGTGCACTACACGAGAATTTGAAAAAAAATTGATACTTGTACAACAGAAAAAGTACAACTTATTGTCAAATTGTAAACAATAGATGCACAATAAATGATAAAAAAAACTCGTAAAACCCTTGTTTTATTGTTTTTTATTATTTAATGATAAAAAAACTCGTAAAACCCGTATTTTATTATTTTTTATTGAAAATAATAATTTTTTAATTAGATTTATTAAATTATATATGTCCAAACTAAATATTATCTATAATACAATAAATTTAGTTTCGAAATGTTAATTTATTTAAAAGTCATATATAGTTTCAATTTATAGAGTTGGTCTCGCTCATACAATAAATTTTCAAGTATTTTAAATTTATAATATTTGATAATTTATAATATAGGTTAATATACACAAATGTAATAATTTATAACTTTATGAAATAAAACCATAATTTTATTATTTTTAGTTTTGATATTCATTCATATTTTATATTTTCAACACCAAAAGTTAAAATAATCTATATACTTTATTTAAGTTATTTGATATTTCAAAATTAAGCGTGATAAAAAATACATGAAATTGTCCTCATATTAGATATGCAATCTGGATGTTAAATAGAAAAAACCTTAATAGATGGTTAATTTGATATAACATATGTAAAGTGGAATATAAATAAAATAATTAAACTTTTAAAGTAAAAAGTTAAAGAATACATATTTATAATAGCTAATATATGAATTAACAAGAAAATGAAATGTAATATACGGTAATTTAAAGAAATAAAATGTAATATATATTGTAGTATAAGAAAAAGAAAGGTAAAATGATTTTTTTGGTAATTTCTAAATTTAGTTGTTAAACTCATTGTTCTAAAAATCGGCCTAGACGGCCGCCTAGGCGCTAGGCGGCGGTGCACCGCCCACGATTTGCTAAAATCGGCCATAAAAATCGGCTAGACGGGCTAGTCGGGCCTAGGCGGAGCTAGGCGGCCTCGGCGGCTACGCAGTTTCGGCGGGACTAGGCGGCTGCGGCAGGTTCTCGGCGGCTGAGGTGGGTTCTCGACGGATTTGACCAGAA